GGGCGCGGCCCCTCATTAGCAGCAGCCGCGCGCCTAGCCGCCACGCGCCGCGCAGCGCCCCGGGCGGAGCGCCCCTCTCCCGCTTCGGCCTTTGCCCCTTCGGCCGCCGCCGCCCGGGGAGGATGCAGAAGGGCTGGAAGAAGTACTTCGGGCAGAAGTCCTTCAGCGAGGTGGCCATGGACGAGTACCTGGGCAGCCTGGGGCTGTACCGCAAGATGACGGCCAAGGACGCCTCCTGCCTCTTCCGAGCCGTCTCGGAGCAGGTGGGCGGCGGGGCGGCACCGGTAACGGTCTCGGGGGGAGCCGAGGCCCCTCAGGCCCTCGCCACGGAGGGCGGTGTCCGCTCCAGGCCCGCGGCGGGGCAGGGGGTGCTCCTGGAGACCCCTCCTGGGTGCCCAAAGTGAGGTGTCGTGTGTGGGGAGGGGTGCGATCGTCCCCGGGCAGGCAGGCTCCTGGCTCCCCGGGGCCCTCCTCAGCTTCGTCCCCAAGGGTCCTGGGGCCCTCCAGAGCGTCTCCTCTCCCTGTTTTGTAAAGTCTTCTGTGCTGGCGTTAGTCTCTGTAAACTGTGAATAAAATAAGCCTAATGTGAAGCATAAATTAAACTCTGCAATCTTCTTCATTCTTTCATAACCTTTATTTTTTTCAGCTGTTTTCATCTCAAATTCATCACGTGGAAGTTAGGAAAGCTTGCGTCTTGTTCATGAGGCAACATCAGCATAAGTTTGAATCTGTAAGTAACGTGTGTTAGGCAGTTTTGCACGTGTAGTTAGGAAGTAATGTGGGAGGAGGTGAGTGGTTTAGCCATAAACATACCCACATAAACATAGGCGCTGAAAACATGTCATGCTTTGCCAGGCTTGATGTACGTAAGAGAAGAGAAACGGCAGAGTGATTGCTTGGTTAACTTATTTGAGTTGCAATTGCACAAGTTTTACTTGACTTTATGTTTCTGAAGTTCCTGAAATCAAGCAAGTTACTAATATCCCAGTAACCAGTAGAGTGGCAATTATTTGTGTAGTATATTCTCTGTGGAGCAGCCATTGCAGAATTTAGTAGGTAGGAAATATGTAGGATTTTGGAGTAAGAAACAAACATCAAAAGATGGTGGAGCGTGTTTAATCATTACGTGAAGTCTTGGGTTTTGCATATTTTTTTTTTGGTTGGTTGGTTTTGCATGTGGTGGTTTGCACAGGTGCATGCATGGTGCAGTTCTGTGTGGTGTTGGGATTTTTTTGGATTTTTTTTTTTGGTGCATGTGTTGGTTTTTTTTTCCCCCCCTGTAATCACAGTTAGGTACTTAATCTAATCTAGGAGGGAGATGAGTCGCTGAATATGACTCATGCTTTTAATTTTTTTAGCAACTCTTGGTATTTCCACATTGGTACCCCAAATCATTCCCATGCTCTAAGGCAGGGAACACCTGAAGTCATACCCCCAGTCAGACCACAGGCCTTCAGAACCCAAAACTGGTAGGAATTGGCAAACTAGTCCCAAATTTGGTGTCTATGCCCCCAGCCGCTGCCCTGTGCCTTCCCATTCAACAGCTGGTCACGTATGGTGGCGTGTTTAGGTTTAACTTTGCCTTCCAACTGGCTAAGTTTTTATATTTGCTTTCTTCTTTGTTTTGTTGAAAGTATGTGGAGGGATCATTTGAGAAATACCTTGAACGACTAGGAGATCCAAAGGTAAGACTGATGTAATACTTGTCGAGAGCAGAACAGGAAAGTAATTAGGTGATGGTTTAAAATGTGTTTGTTTTTTTTTTTTTTAAATGTGGTGGGGTGGTTTTTGTTGTTTTTTTGGGTTTGTTTTGGGGTTTTTTTGAGATAGATCCCAACCCTGGGGTCTCATTTGTGTAGGTAATACTATGGGTTTGTACCAAATATTCACATGTATAAACAATATCAGTTTTAGTGGGGAATTTGTGTAGATGCAAAGGAGCGACTGGACAATAAAGCTGAGGCCTCTTGTGGGCTTTAGTCATAATTGCAATTCTCCTCTAAGAAGGAAAAAGCAAAATACGTGGAGTGTACCTCGCATCAAATGTTTATCAGGCTTTGCAGTCCCTTGCTTCTTCCTTTACCACCCCCAGGTTCGAATACTAGAGTTCAAACTCTTATTGTTTCTTGAGACTTTAACCAATAAGTATGGTGAATGCAGCAGTCTCTGAAACAAATGTAGTGGTTTTAATTAAATAAAGTGTATCTTGAGTGACGTGTTTAAGATTTGCTGCCAGTACTAGCTCCATCTTACTCATCTTGGTAATCATGGCCATTCCGTGTTGCAGGGTTTTTTGTTTTTTTTTTTTTTTTTTTTTACCCCACCCCCTGGGAATCCTAATACCTCAACTCTTAATGCATTGATTGTTTGTTTTAACAAACTGAGTTTGGTTAGGTATTTTAATACTGCAGAGATCTAGAATAGGATTCTCGGTGTTGAAGAGGGCTCTGGTATCTCATGGAATCTCATAATCTTGCATAGGAAAGCGCTGGCCAGCTGGAAATGAGTGCTTTATCAGTGATGTACAAGTAAGTGTCTTTTAAGTTTCACTTTGTTTTGGACTTGATGGTGTTTGGGTTCTGGCCCCAGAACCTTCTATTTGTTTGTTGCTGAGATACTAATGTGTGAAAGGTGGTGAGAAATGCTACCCTAACAAAGTTAGTTAAACTAACATGTGCCATCACAGCTGCTCTTCTCATAGTGTGGATTAAGGGAAGGGTCAATTTCCAGCAATGTTTATTTGTTATCTTTTTGCTAATGTTAAACTCCCAAGTCAAGTGTTTCCTTCTAGTGGCTGAAGAATGGAAAATGGGACAAAACAAGGAGCTGTGTGTAGCGGAAACACTGTGTGGTAGTTATAAGCATGACTGAAACTCATGTAGATGTTCTTGAAAGCTCCAGTAGCGAGGAGTAATTTGCCCTATTTGGTGCATAAACCCTGATACTTATTTCAAAGGTAGCATAAGCCTGCACAGGTGCTGCTGTCTTGCTAAAAATGCTGCTATCCTGTAATGGGCAGCCTGGCTCACCAGTGGTGGAAGGAAGAACCGTCTCTTTGCAGGCTTGTTCTGTTCCAGTACTAAAGGAACAAACTGAAGTTTTGCGAGAGTTACTAGTTCCCTGTACTGAGGCTCTAATGCTTTTGCAGGGTGACTAAATTGTCTCAGTGTCTGAGCACCGTGCCGTAAGCATAAATACTTGACCTAATCTGTGACTAAACATAATGGTCTTTCCCAGGTAACTTTTTTTCGCCTAAGATGGGTGGTGTTTGCTCATCTAGCTGTTGCTGTATGGTAGCATTCATTTATCAGGAGAAGTATTCTACTTGTTTTTTCTATAAACGAACAGCGGATTCTCTAAACAGCTCCCTGCAAACTTCTTCATAACATGGTTCTACTAAAAGTGTGCTCTCTCAAGTCTTGTTTTTCCTCTGCTTACCTAGGCGAGACTTTATTTTGTACCGGTACCCTGGAAAGCCACCCGCTTATGCTACAGACAATGGCTTTGAAGACAAGGTGAGGCAGAAGTGAGGCAATTTCCTACCCCTACTGCTGAATCCTAGTTACCTCCTCCAGTCCAGCTGTAAAAACTTGACACTGGAATTGAGCTCTTGCAACTCCAGTGCTCTTGCATACCTGAACAAAACCCCAAATCTGACTTCAGCTCATGGAAAAAGCACAGTATTTGCACAACAGTTAATTCAATTATAGTAGCTTTGCTTCCCATCTGAGGGATGGATTGTGTGCTGTTCCCCTGCCAATCTTTTTTGTTACTTCAGCTCATATTTCAAGTTTCATTTTGGCAGGAAGAGGTAACATCACAATGCCAGAATATTCTTTCATGTTTCCAAAATCTCCTTGAGTAAAAAACTAATTCCAATGGGAATTTGACTTATCTGACAGGGTAGAATGAAATATCTGGGTTGAGTTGAAGAGCAGAACAGAATATTTTTATCATAGCGGTGAAGAGAAGGTGTTCTCCCCCACCCCCAGTGCCTCTCTTCCTGAGGTGTGCAGTTTTTCTTCCTGAAAAGGCAAAATTAATGGGAATGGATTAATCTAACAGACTGATTCATTTCTGTGATATACAAATTAAGCCCACTTAAGAATGGGAGCTAATGGAACAGCTTATCTACATGAGAATTACTGCTGTGGACAAAAAGAATCGTAGAATGGTTTGGGTTGGAAGGGACCTTTAAAGATCATCTGGTTCCAACCCCCCTGCCATGGGCAGGGACGCCTTCCACTAGACCAGGTTGCTCAAAGCCCCAATCCAATCTGGCCTTGGACACTTCCAGGGATGGGGCATCCACAACTTCTCTGGACAACCTCTTCCAGTGCCTCACCGCCTCATAGGAAAGAACCACCACCCCCATAGTAATGCATTTTTTCCTTATATCTAATCTAAATCTCCCTTCTTTCAGTTTGTAGCCATTACGCCTTGTCCTATCACTAACGTGCCCTTGTAAAAAGCCCCTCGCCAGCTTTCTTGTAGGCCCCCTTCAGGTAGTGGAAGGCTGCTGTGAGGTCTCCCTGGAGCCTTCTCTTCTCCAGGCTGAACAACCCCAACTCTCTCAGCCTGTTCTCATAGGGGAGGTGCTCCAGCCCTCTGATCATCTCCATGGCCCTCCTCTGGACTCGCTCCAACAAGAAGGAACATAAAGGAGAAATACTCTGTATTACCTCCCATCTGACCCCTCTTGTTTTCTCTGTGGTCACGTAGGTGTGCCTACACAATTATGTGGCTAGCTCAGGCATGATGCCAGTGAAGTTGCTGTGGTATGGATTTCAGTATGGGCTATTATATTTGCCAAAATGGCTAGTCTGCTCTGAAATCTGTGCCACTGCAGCTGTTCTTCTCTGTTGGTTAGTATTACTGTCTTTGTTTACATGCACTTCTTTTTCTATGTAGTTCCTGTGTAGCTTAATCTAATTTCAAAATGAGCTAACTTTTAAAAATCAAGCAGTATGGTCTAAATGTTTGTCCTAAAAGGCTTTACCACCAGAGCTCTCATTAAGTGTTGGCAGCTGTCTGTCATTAGACTGCATGTACAGGCAGCAGCTCTTTCTGGTGTTGCTCGTTGTCGCCATGGGATGAGAGCTTGTGTTGGCAGAAGAGGTAGTGCACACTGAATTAAGAGCTGTGGCATCCCAGCTCCTGCTGGTTCACTGGGAAGCATCCTTGCTGGCCATGTGCTGACAGCTGCCTAAGGGCTTCTGCCAGTTGCAGTTGGCTGTGGTCGCGTGCCAAGATGGGGTTTGATGGTATACTGGGTATATATACTTGATGTATCAATGCATGTGTTGCAGAAAACATGCATCTTCTCAAAAGGCAGCATAATATTGCTTAGTAAAAGCAAGGCTTTGTTGAGGGCTAGAGAATTAAATGCTATTCTAGTCCCTCAGGTAGGGAAGGGTGAAATGTGCCTTTGGTACTTGAACGGTGTATCTCAGGGGTACTGCACTTAATGGCTTGTATTTATTTTGCCTCTTGAGCCATTGGTGGTTTCAGAGGTAAGCTGCAAACAAACTCTTGTTTCATGTTTAATACAGCACGATGTACAAATGGATAGTTTTTCTGTATATAATAGATGAACTCATTTAGAGACTTTACCTAGGATTCAGTTTTAAGCTGATTCTACAGCTTTTTCATATTTATATTGAGAATATTTATTGTTTTCTTGATGAGTTGGTGTTGACTGTAGAATGAAAAAATAATGTAGTCTTGAGCTAGGATATCAAATAGAGAGAGTTAGGTTTTACATTATTCCAGCCTTAAAGCCTTTTTTTTTTTTATTTTCCCAGATTTTACTGTGTTGTTCCAGCAATGGCCATTATGACTCTGTGTATATAAAACAATTCCAGGAAAATGCTGCTATTTGCCAGGGTAAACTTGAAATCATTTTTCTATGGAAGAGAATTATATGCTTTCATATGTTTATAGGCAGTTTTTGTTTTGGTTTTCAGGGGTGGGGAGGAGAGAGATGGAAGCTCACTTATTGTATATTAATATATACATACGCTCATTGTTCTATCTGTTAAGTGGGGTATTGGACCAAATGACTTCCAGAAGTCCCTTCTTCCCTCCTGAATTATTTTGTGATCCTCCTCTTAATTGGATTTAATATAACTAGTGCCTTGTAACAGTAGATAATATCTGAAGATATGTTTACATTGAAAATTGCAGCAGTTCTTATGGATCTGGTATTATCTTAATTTGGTTTGAGCTTTGTGTTGATTTGTTCAGCTGTATTGTATGAGATCCTGTACAAAGATGTGTTTGGCATGGATGAGGAAGAATTAAGGTCTGCAGTTGAGGTGTTTCGAAGTGGATCCAAGAAGAACAGAAACAGTGGCTCTTTAGGAAGTGAGGATGCAAACTTTGATTGTCTTCATGAAAAAGTATCCAGAAATCCATCAGAAAAGAGGTAGTATTTTGGGAAGGGGATGTTAAAAACCTTGTAAAGGGCAACTTTTCCAAGTTTCTTTGAACATTCATGGGGTATTAACTTTTTTTTTTCCTATCTCGTGACACAAACACGAAGCTGATGTATATTGTGGAAGAGAGTGTGCTTTCCTTGGAGCTGGGAAGTGTTGCATAATTGAACATCCTCTGCTGCTGGCTATGTTATAGTTGCGTGTTACTCTGTAAAATAACAGCTTATTTGTAAATAAAATTGTTCCTTATGCCATCAAAGTATTTTCTTTAGTAAGAAACTGTTATTACTCTTCTAAGCCTCTCTAGTTCTGCGGAGGCAATAGTGTATTGAGAAAATGAGCTCCGCTTTATTTTCTTTTGTCCTTTTCTAATGGAATTGTACCCCAAATAGACAATTAAATGGTGGCATTATTCAAGTCTTGGATCACTGGGAATGAGGGGAACAGACAGAATGTACCTATAGAAACCCTCGTATCCCATGCAAGTCAGCGGAAAGGCTTGAGGGATGCCTCTGACCATTACTGAATGCTTGCAGATGACAGTGGTTTGATAGGACTTAAAACAGGGTGTCGTCTTGTACTTGTTGGCAGTGCAAGAGTTTAATCAGTCAGTGGGGTCATCTTCAACCTTTCCTAATGCAAGCAGTAGCCCTTGTTAGGCGTGGGTGTTGGAACAAGTAAAGGTCGTGTTCTTGAAACTAGAAGGGTTGTGCTGTACTGCATCACAGCCATGGCTAGTGTTTAAGGCAAAATCTACCACTTGATGGCACCATGGTGCTTTTTCAGATTGTATGAACAGTTGGTTGATTTTAATCGTGGCTAGAAATTATGCATTGTATCTTTTGTAATCTTATTTTCAATTACTTAGAGTGGACAACTGGGAAGGCAATGATACTGACAATCCACAGGAAGATAAGTTCAAACAAGGCATTGAAGAAGAAAAGGTTTGTCAGTTAGGGAAGAATTCCTTATGGTGGGTTTTTTTGTTGTATGATGTTACCCTTGTTAGGGCTAAACCTTCTTTTCTGCTTTTTAAAAAATGACTTTTTGGAAAGCGGGTGGCTTATTTCTTTCCTCTGCTTGTCTTTTGGTTTTGCCCTTGAGTTTCTATTAACTTGGATAAGCCTTTTTCCTTTCTGAGATTCTCTTGTTCTCTAGCTAATATTCCACACGCCCCCACGTCCACACGTCCACAAGCTTAGTAGTTGTTTCCTGGTCTGCTATTTGTTTTTCCCAGAAATGGTTTAAATCAGTTCACTTTTGTTTTGAACATAGTATAAGTCACTTTGGAACAGTTCTAGAAACTCTATAGAAACCTGTTTTCAGATATAATAACTGAAATTCCCACCAACTTTTGAAGCCATGGCTTCATTGGTCTGGTTAGCTTCCTTTGATTCTTTTTGAGTAAAGAGCATGCCAAATCTTACTCTTGAGTCTGTTTCTAACCTTTACAAAGTCTGTTTGCTCAGCTTCTGAATGCCTAAATGTGTTTTTGTATTCTAGAGCTTTAGTTTTTAGGGAAATAAGTGAAAATTTTGGAAAATAGTGTGTGTACATCTTAAAGTGGTCCACAGATGCTGGCAGGATAGAGACTATGCTGAAGACATTAAATGCACTTGTTAATGCTCCATTTCAACTCTGTTTTTAGCCTCCAGAAAACCCATCAAAGATGCCCGTTCCTTACAAAGTGCTGAAGGCACTGGACCCTGAGATCTATCGAAATGTGGAGTTTGATGTTTGGCTGGACAGCAGAAAAGGTATCTTTAAAAAGGGAAAAACAAACAGCTCTTTCTGTACTAGGTTCAGTGTTAACTTTATAAATCTGAGGCCTATCACCTGTTTCTTCACAGCTGAAATGTGAAGGGTACTGGTTAACCCAGCAGATATTTGTGGGTAGTACATGTTCTTGCTAGTAGCTGGTTTCTTGGTTCGTTTCAAAGTAGGAAATACACTGCTTCTGACACTGTGTAATGGTGATAAGGTTGCTAAAAATCTGACCTCTGCTACTTACTGAAGATAGTACAGGAAATACGAGGACTCAGAGTATAGAACTCTGTTACCATTCTGTTGTACTGGAAATCATTCAGATTTGAAAGTTTGTTGCAGCATGTGTGCAAAGACTTCTGCTTTTTAAAGCATGATTTTGGCTTCAGAGCTGTATAATAATGAAGATCTCAAATTTAGCATTGAGATCTGTCAAATGAGATGAGTTTTCTCTTGCTTCCCAGCTCTCCTGGGCTTGAACATTGCGGAGAGATTTCATGGTCTTCGTGGCTTGGGATAGGTTGCTGCTTTTTCGCATACACTATGGCTGATGTGTAAAGCAAGCAGTTACCAAGAAAGAGAAGTTTTGAAGTGGTGTTTGATGTCTGACCCGAAGTGCTTTGCATTCTGAAGAATTCCAGCATTTTACAACTGCTTAAGCAGTAACAAGGGTCATTAAAATTCTTGGAACAGAGTATAGTAACTAATTATCTATGTAGAGTACTGACTCTGCAAAGAATCCAGGCAAGGAATGGAGAAAAACCTACTGAAATCTAGCAGCAAGGAGACTTTAGGCAATGTTAGCTTTTCCTGGATAACATCTCATTTTTGCCTAGTGCCACCAGTACTCTGGCAAGAGAAGACCCGTCCAACATTCTTAATACCAGGATTGGTATTAAATGCAGGATTAACTTGGTACCATCACAAAAGACATTGTAGTATTGAAGCAGTAGTGCTACTTCCTGCATTATCTGGATATTATTGATCTCCTGTGACTTAGCCTGGTTATAGTCTGTTAAAAGAACATGTGTGGTTACTTCACCATTACTATGGGGAATATTCAGGTATGCGTAGGAAATATTTAACTCGGTTGGCCTATAATTTGTATTTGGATGCTGCCATGAAGTACTTGTAGGACACATGAAGAAAGAATAGTAGTTTAAAGGCTTTTTTGTTTTTATTTATTTATTCATTTATTTTTAGAGCTTCAAAAAACTGACTACATGGTGTTTGCTGGGAGACAGTACTATTTAGGAGACAAGTGTCAGGTTAGTACTCAAAGGAGACTCAGTTATGATAAACTATTAAAACTGCTTTAAATGGAGTATGGTAAGCCATAAAATCATTTGACTTCATAGAATTTACCAAGGCTTTTCTCATTCTATTCCTTGTAGCTATTAATCTGATTTTATTTTTAATTTCATTTCTTTCTAAATATCTACCTTTAAACACTGGGTAGTGTGGAGGAAAAGCTGCTTGGAAATTCACTGTGAACCAGTGAGATACATTCAGTGAGTGTGGAAGTTCAGACCTAGAGCTCAAAATGCACAGGGTGTGCATTTGAGGTAGCTGTCTGTTAGATTTTCACTGGGGGTCAACAACAAGTCTGGACAGTCTTCTGCTTCTCAACAGTAGTGTAGCAAATATTTTTATAAAATAGAAAGGGAAGAGCTAAAAAGGGAGGAGTAGCATGATCTGGCCAGGAGATGCTGAAAGGAAGGTCAGCTTTCTTTGTATTCCAATGGTCTATGTAGTAAGGGCTTATTTCTTATCACTGTTTGAGGTATTGCTGATGATTCACTCAGTGACTCGTTTCTAGCTGAGCAGAGTTTTCCTTTCCAATTTCCTGTTTTATCTTCTGTTCTCCTCAAGTTCTTAAATGGTGGTCTTCCTTGGTACTTATCTGCTTGGCACAGTGTATAAAAATAAGTTAGAAAGCAGGTGTCTTCTTACCTCTCAGTCACTCACAGGACTGTTTGTTTTTTTTTTTTTAAATTTTTTTATTTTTTTCCCCCCTTCCTCTCTGAAGTTAGTACAATGCTCTTTCTTTTGCCTGTTACTTTGAAGAAGTATTTGAGACTCCTGGGCCAACTCAGTAACATACAATCACCTAGGAGCAGCTTTGCTGTTAGTGGTTTGTAGACAATATTCTGAATCCCCTGATACAGTTGGCTTTTTTAGAGCTTCCCTTATTCTCTCTCCAGGTACGTCTGGAGCCTGGAGGTAAGTATTACAATGCTCATATCCAGGAGGTCGGACAGGATGGCAACACGTTGACTGTATTCGTAGAGGAGCTGGCAGAAAAGTAAGCAGTCCGGTGAAGACTTCATGTTTGAACTTTCTGGTTGAGTTTGTATCTTCACAGATGCTTAAAATAGGATTGTTAAGGTACTTTGAAAAGAAAAGAGAACCTAGGCTTTTAAACACAAAGTGAGGCTTTGCTTCCTTGTTGGCTATCACTCTTCAAATAGAATGTTGCAGGAAATTTTCTCTCTTAGATTTCTAACGACCAAAACCATTATTGTAATGCTTTCTGAGAAATCTTGCTGCTTGCTCTTCTCCGGAATGTGAAAGTGATCTTTGCAGTTTGGGCTTAATTCACGGATAGCAAATTACCCTCTGCTGTTGGTTTCTCTGGAGTTTTTATGTTGTATCCAAACAACTAAATAATTGGCACTTCTGGTGAGCTTTCTCCACCTTGCTGTTCAAAGCATTCGCCCTTCTCCAAACCCAGGATTCAGCTTGATGACATACCACAACAATTCTGCATTCTCAAGTGCTTTCAGGTGTACCTCTGAAGGCATACAAATGCAGGGAAGAAAGACTTGACCCAGGAAGTCACTAGTGTTGAGACTAAATCCTAGCTTGCCTTTTTTAATAAATGAGTAACAGTAATGTATGCTTGGTGTCAGTGAAACTTTTTTTGTTGTTTCCACAAACTCCCTATACTCTTGATTTTGTGGGTTTTTCTGTTTTCTTCTGTCTTAGTGTTGCTTCAGCTTATGTTGTTGTGCAGTTATGCACAGCGTAGCCTTGTGGCACTGCTAACATCAGTGTTCTTCATGTAGGCACACAGTTCCTTTGGCAAACTTAAAACCAGTGACACAAGTGGCGCCTGTCCTTGCTTGGAACATGGTTCCCAGCCGAAAAGGAGGAACCTATCAGAAAATAACAGGTGGATACTTCTCAGGAATAGGTTTGTACAAGGCTTCCACAAGCATTCCTTCCCTTGGGGGAGCAGGGGAGTTAAAACTCATGACAGTTTTAACAGTAGCAGTCTTTGGATATTGAAGTGACTTAATTCAGCCTGTGATACAAAACTTGATGACTGCAGGGGTTTGATGTAAAGTGATTCTTCAGACAGAGGGATGAATTTGCCTTTGCAAAAGAGCAAATCCATTGAAAATACATAGCAAAGCTGGTATTGCTCGAAATTACCAAGAAGAAATTTGGTACTTGGGAACTATGTGTAAAGACTGGGTCTGTGAACCAAAAAGCTTGTCTGATTTGGCCTTAGCAGAGATGCATGGACAGACTAGGGCTTCCCCAGCCAATTAAATACGGATTGTATTTGTTCAATTTGGAGAATTTTTCTTTTACTAAATAAATGCAGCCTTCATAAAGAGATTTTAACACTGAGAGTACTGATTTGATCAGCTCAAGTTGGGAAGGTATTCTCATGTGAGATGCTTGCATTCTGCTCATAATTTAGAATGCTTGCTTGAGCCTTCAAAATAAGGGTATGAAGTTTTTTGCATACTTAAAATGCACTTTTTCTGGGATAGGCCGTTGGATCTTTCTTTTCTGTGTGTCCGATACTGACTCTTTTCAAATGATAAAGAGAACATAGCTCTGGAGTCAGCTGTTTAAGGTGTAAATCTATCTTTTCTGTCCTCAACTGAAACTGCAGAAATGGATATGAAAACACGGAAGAGAATGCTTAAGAAAGTTCGTGGAAAGGAAGTGTTTATGACTGTGGCTTATAGCAGGGGTCAGCCAGTTCTTCCACCCCGGCTACAGCACAGTGTTCCTTCAGGGCGCTCTCCTTCAGTTCACTGCTCACAGGGTGGTGGAAACATGGCACCTTACGAAACCTATCATCCTCAGAGACATAACCGTGGATTTGGGATGCCAAGGTATGAAGCCTTGAAAACCTGTCTGTGATCACCACTCATTTTCTGTTCATTCTTGCTGCAGACTAGTTAGGGGAGAGTTTGTGCTATTTAGTAGGTAAAACTACAAATGAGTTCCATCTGAGAGGCACTTCCTGGTAATTGCACCTTTTACCCTTTAAACTTAGGGGATCTGCCCGATTTATAAACAGGCACAACATGGTTGGCCCTCAAATAGCATTCTACCCCAGTCCAGGAAAGAGATGCTATCAGAGCTATGGCAATTTCTCCTGCAGGTAAGTGAATATAAACCTCTTTACAAAACATTGCTCTAAAGGAGTTGGGGAGGATGGTGGTATGTGGAGGGCTGAGGTGGCCGTTAATGGCACAGTATGGAACAGTGGGTTTATTGTGCCTCTCCAAAAAGACAGCAGCGAAACCAAGGTGAAACTCTAGATAGTGGTGATTCTTAATCTCCTTTTTTTGTTTTTAAAGCTCATACAGCCGTAGCCGCCGTCAGATGCAGTGTGTGAATAAGGAATGTCAGTATGGGTTTGTACCAGAGAATGGAGAGGAGCCTCAAGGACCAGAAGAAACTATAACTTTCTATGAAATTGAAGGAGAGGATGACACTGCTTTTCCTACTTTACCAGTAAGTTATGAACAAGGAGTATGTTAAAATCTCTCGGGGGGGGGGAAGCTATACAAATGCATGGGACTTCTTTACCTAAATATACAGCAGCTTCCCCCCACCCCTGGAATAAACTTTAGCAGTGAACATGTTTTTGAGAAGGGAAGGCTGAAATGAGTCTAGATCCTGTAAAACCTGCTTAAAACATTAGTTTTTCTAAGTGTTCCCCTCCTTTCTTCCTCCCCTCAGCAGCAGCAGCACTTCTTTTCTCTTTAGTATATTTTCATAAAAGTAGGGTCATGTTTCTCCTTTCTATTGCTGTTTGAAAACAAAACAAAAAAAAACCCTTCCTACTGTGGATGTCTGTCTAGCTCTGCATATTGTGGGAGAAAGCTTTTCACTTGTTTCCCACATTGTTAATTTATCGTTTGTGTAACTAGATTCAGAAACTGTATAATGATAGCCTGGATTGTTCTATGCATTCATATGGTGATGTTTGGGACTAGTGTGTTGTTCTGAAACAGTTTCTTCTGCTACAGTCACAGGAGAAAATTCCAAATCTAGACTTCTCTTAAAACAGTCTTTTTGTCGGGTTGTAGATAAAGTAGCACAGCGTATTCTTAAACTTTAAAATAAATCTTTTTCTTTTATTTGTAGTCTAAGCCTAGTACAAAGCTGGATATGCTACAAAAAATCAATTGATATTAAGGTATCTGAATAGGAAAGCAGATCTTTTTTTTTTAAAAAAGACCCTGGTAGATTTGAATTTTTTTTACTGTGTTGAAGCAGTGAACTTAACAAATGCTGGACTTGTATCTAAATGAGAGAGAGGGAATCTGCTCAGGGCTGGTTGAGTGGCAGCCACTTTTTAATTTGTCCTCATGTGCTAGATCTATAATCTTTGCTCTGATTTACCTCTAAGAGTGTCAAGGAATAGGGACAGATTATCCTGCAATTTTTTTTCCTGACATGAAATCAATATAGCTTACTAGCTTTTCCTCCCCGTTGCTAGAGTATGTACCTGCAGCTCCTAATGAATAGTTTTTCATGTTCATTCAGTGACTTTATTGTCAATGCCAAAGCCTTTTCTCTGTCTCTTCCTTGTCTTGTTTAGTAAAGGAATAGAACATTTCCTGGGGAAAGATGCATCTCACAGAAAACTCTGCCATCCTACTAGAGGTCTGATGGGAGAATCTTCTGACTTTACCACCTCTGCTTCAACCTTGGAAATCTTAGAAGCCTCTCTGAGCACTTTATCAATCTCGTAGTCACCATGTCTTCAGAGGAGAATTTTGAGTGTCACCTTAGCCATCACAAAAGAGTGAATCAACTGTTTTTACTCTAGCATCTCAATCCTATATTCCTGCTTCAGAGAAATCTATGTTTTATTAAATTGTGGTGCAGCTAAGGACTGACTTCAGTGCAAAGACAAAGGGCATGTGAAGTATTCAAGGTTTCCCACAGGACTCCTTTATGGGTGCTGCTCTCTGAAAGAGTCAGGCTTGCATGGGTGGGTCAAGTGAGTGCAGACAGTGGTGTCTATGCCAGCAGCCACCCCTGGTTTTCACTAATTGTGACTAAAGATAACCTTTTTCCATGGTAATCGGAGTATTTGGATGAACTGGTCTGCTGTTGGTGTGGTGGGAATGCTCCAGGACGAGGAACACAGGGGTATATGTTGGGGGTAGCAATCTGTTGCCTGGGGTCTGCTCTCTCCTTTTCAGCTTTGAGCTCGAGGTAAAGCTGGCTAGGTTCTGGGAGGGAGCAACTTGACTGTATTGCATGGGACAGTGGTAGGTCTTCACAAATAAATTACCTGAAGTATGCTAGGCAGAACAAAAGGTAAAGGACAGAAATGCGTCCGCAGCAGTTTTGCTGCAAGCCAGGTGCATAGGAACGGACACACAAATGGTAATTCTAGTAAGTTTTGGTTGCAGCAAGCTTGGTCTGCCAACCTGTTTCTACTGTGTGTGTATGTAGAGCATGGAAATACTTTAAACTATTTCTAAATGCATGCTTCTGACTTTTGTTTTTTAGAGCCAGGGTAGCCCTCCTCCTATTGTCCATGGTCCAGCAGGTTTTTGGGTAGCAAGGAGAGGCCCAAACGCTGTTCCACCTAACAAACAGACTCTGAATTCCTCAGAGGAGGAAGAAGAAACAAGTGAAAATGGTGAGTTCTTAAAGAATTAGTGGGCAAAGAGAAAAGACAGGTTTAGAAGATATTCAGTGTGCTTTTGATAGTCAAAGTAGGTTCCTTATATCTCCTAAATATCTGTTGATTGTGAGCTTTGAACATGAATGTGTGGGCACGTTATTTTTCTTCGTTGTCTGATAGCAAGCTTAAACCAAAGTGACACATTTCAATGCCATCACCCTTGTGATTGTGTAGGTCTGTAGCAAGCCAAGTTGCTGCTTAAAAATGTGTGGTGTAAATTTGGTAATGGCAACCTTGATACTTGGTGGAATAACCAAATGAGCGTATCTTGAGGGTTTCTCTACCTTTTCTGCGCAAAACAAGATGATACTGAAAACTGGTCATTAATGGATGCACTGAAATGTAATTGTGGTAACTTCAGCTTTAAGCTTTCTTTTATTGTTCCCTGAATCAAAGCTTCCTGTACTCTCCCTTGTAGGGAAATT